CCTTTGCGTCTATGTACAGACTATATAGTGACATAGCAGCCATTGGACCCTGGGTTGGTCAGGGTACTGCCTGGATTCGTCCTGCCAGGTGACAGGGTCCAGCATACTGCTTGAATCCTAACACACACTTGGAATATCTCATTTTAAGGCTCTGGTCACCCAGATTCACACTGCCAACTACAGTGGTGACAGGCCTAAGTGTTAATGTAATGGGAATGAAGAGGATGCCTAGATATCTTGACTTGGGGAACATACCATTTTCAAAGAGAAAACGTTGGAATAAAGACTTGGAAAAGATCATGTAGATATTAATATATATTTTTTGGAGTTTTGTTTCTCCGTGCTCGCTCTGTTTTGCTTATTCTTTTAGTGCTCTTTGGGCACACACTGTAGATTTCATATTATACTAGGCAATAAGCAAGAAATATACTGCAGATTAAAACAGGTGAATCAAGAACTTCTGTTTCTGTGAGGGAGAAAGATTCTAAACCATGAACTGTGAACATATCGAGCTGAAGTTATGATATGTCGGAAAGACATTAGATGATACAACTTCAAGGCTCTAAATTGGTCTCCTGTGAGGAACTGATATATGAGCTAAATGTTAAATGACAGCAGAAATTAATAAGGGACCGAGAGAAAAGGTTTTTTTTTTTTTTTTTTTTTTTTTTTTTTTTTTTTTTTTTTTTTTTTTTTGGCAGAGCTATTGCACATAAATACTCCACAGAGGGAAGGTCCTGAAACTTTTATAACAATCTTGTTAGAAGAGAAATTGTCTTCTGTGTCACTTTGTCAATCCGGAAGGAATCTAAGGACTTCCTTTACATTTAGTGTTTAAGAAAATATGGGGAATAGAACACTTAGATTATGGAAGGTAGAAAGTTCAAAATGGCAGGAAACAGAAAAGAAGTTAGAGGAAGCTCTCCCTGACCTCCCCAAGCTATACAGAGTTCCATTTCCTTTCTGGTCCAGGCTAGGTGTATTCTGCACGTACTACAAAATACAAACTCAACATCATGAAGGGACAGATGGGCCACTGGTTCCCCTCACTGACTCACCCCTCTCTATCAATTCAATTGTCAGAATTCCATTAACACCCTTGTAGGTTCCTATCTTTCTTACTTCAAGTACTCGGGCACTGAGCAGATTTAGTTCCTTGGTTGTGGAGGTCTGGAAAGTGTAGGTAAGACAGACAGATGTGTGCCTAGAGTATCTGTGCCACTGTGGGGGTGGTGTCTAGTCTTTTCTCTATCACCAATAACAGGAGAGCTATACATCAACAGCACTATCAGCACAAATCATATTTCATTTCATCCATGATGATGTCCATTAGAATTTTGTATAGTTTCATAATGAAAAAGTCTTGAATGTTGATTATTTCCCTTAGCAGCTACCTGTGGGAAGTATGGTCACTCTGTTTTTTACAAAGGGGGAAGCTACTAGGAAGCAGGCGTGAGAGACTCAGCCTTGTATGCAGATTTCCCCTTTCAAATTCCCCTCTCCCTTTTTATTTCACTACTTAGAATAAATAGATCTTTATAATGGATTTCTTGATTTCCTCTTGGCTTGCTGAAAATGGGGCCTTGGACACATACTTTGCCACTGAGTCCCATCACCAGCCCTCCCAGTTATAGAAATATTTAGAGGTTTCACTATCACTAGTTAAAACATACAGGAGTTAGCGCTAGGAGAAATGTCAGTCTGTCAATCCATCACTTTTCCTTCTTGATTTTATGAGGCATGTACATTATCAAAGCCCCAGATGGCTCGTACATTACTGCAAAGTTTAGGGAGTTGAACCTCTCTTAAAACAACACAGGTTCTGCTCTCTGACTTTCGCTCTAGAGAATCAAATACACTCCTTTTTCAAGCAGGAATTATTCAGTGTTAATATGTTATATACTGAGTATTTCAAACTTTCACAGGTGTTGATTGTGGAAGTCACAAAATAGATTTGATTTTTCAAAAATTCTAATAATCTGCGTAACAATATTCTTTTGTCTGTATCAATATGAAACCCCCAAATAGTGCCTTAAAAGAATTTTATTAGTATGAACTTTTAATTATTATTATTTTTTTTTTGATTTTTGAGACAGGGTTTCTCCATAGCTTTTTGGTTCCTGTCCTGGAACTAGCTCTTGTAGACCAGGCTGGCCTCGAACTCACAGAGATCCGCCTGCCTCTGCCTCCCGAGTGCTGGGATTAAAGGTGTGCGCCACCACCGCCCAGCTGAACTTTTAATTAGAATAAACATATTCTAATTAAAATCTTTCTTTCATATTCTTAGTCTGAAAAATAGAGAGGAGAAATGTGTAAGGACAAATATTTCAGCTCACTGAGCTGAGGTGTCTAGCATATACCCTGTTTCCCACGTTTGGCTTCTCACCCTGATTTCTTCAAATGGCAGGGCCAGGCCTGCTTTAGGTGATGCTTTATGCTTCTGCATTTAACTTGAGAGCAAGAAGAATACATATAGAAGGACTTAAATAAAAACATAAGATCAGGTTGAGAATTTATTTTATGTTTTGGCTTTTCGAGGCAGGGTTTGGTGTCTGTCCTGGAACTAGCTCTTGTAGACCAGGCTAGCCTCAAACTCACAGAGATCCACTTGCCTCTGCCTCTCAAGTGCAGGGATTAAAGGCGGGCACCACCACCACCCAACTCCAGATTGAGTGTTTTTAAAATAACTGCACTATGGCATAATTAGCACAAATTCAATTGGACACATTAAATATGTGTACTTAATAAAGCTTGACATATTGATGAAAAAATTAATCTAACCCAGAAAATGAAGAAAAATAAGAAATTTTTGCAAACACACACATCCCATAAAATAACTTTTTGAAAATATACAAAGAGTGGCTATAACACCACAGGAAAACAAACCAACTTTGAAGCAGAGTAAATATTTAAATCGTTACTGTATCAAAAATAAACAAAATACAGAAAAGTACAGCTCAATCACGCCACAAGGACATGTGCTCACCTATGTTCTTAGCAGCCTTGTTTGTCATAGCCAGAACCTGGATACAACCTAAATGACCCTTGATGGATAAATAAAATGTGATACATTACACAATGGCGTACTACACAGAAAAAAAAAATGACATCTTAAATTTTGCAGGAAAATGGATGGAGCTAGAAAACATTATTTTGAGTGCGGTAATCCAGACACAGAAAGACAATTGTCACATGTACTCACTCATAGGTGGTTTCTAAACATAAAACAAAGAAAGCCAGCCTACAAACCACAATCCCAGAGAACTTAGACAACAATGAGTACACTAAGAGAGACTTACATAGATCTAATCTACATGGGAAGTAGAAAAAGAAAAAAATCTCCTGAGCAAATTGGAAGCATGGGGACCTTAGGGGAAGGTTGAAGGGAGGTGGGTAGAGGCAGGGAGGGGAGCACAGAAAAATGTAGTGCTCAATAAAAATCAATAAAAAAATGCTAAAAAAAGTGTTCAATGATCTCAGTAATGAAGGAAATGCAGACTTGTCTTTGAAAAGGTCACTTGGTTCCCAGAGAAGCTGCCAAAACAGTAAAATAGTTGTTGCTATAGAATTAAGTGAAGCCCAAAAGTGGCTGCATTAAGAAGCCATATGAGCCAGGCCTTTGCACTGTCATTTTTTTAGAATAAACTATGAGAAACAGCTGGTAAATTTTTGGCTTGTTCATTTGAACAAGTTGGTGGAACTATCCACATACATTGTGCAAACAGACACAAAGCCAGTTCAGGTATTTATGATAAACAGTGTAATGTGCTATCACCTAACCTGCTTAGCCATAGGCTGTGTTCTCAGCTCATCTTCTATACGTGCTGTAGAATTGAGCTCAGGCTCAAGCTGTCGGGTAGGAAAATGGGGATCGCCTTGACAAAGTCCTGGCTCTCTAAGCTGCAGAAAACGTCATTTCATTGGGGCCTACATCCACAAAGCACGGAGAATCTCAAGGTGAAGGGGAAATTCACAGATCTCCCTCTAACTCCTCTATTAGAACCTTCCAGGTATTCTGTCCTTCTTGTGCATTCTTGTGGTACACTGAGCTGGAACTAACTATAGACAAAGCTCTCCACATTCCCACCACCCCATCCAGTTCCTGTCTCCCTACTTATGCTAGCACTGTATTGAGGTTGATGTGGCCCCAGGAAGCCAAAATATCCTTTAAGATCTTATTAAATGATCCTCTGTCCAGCTTTTCCACATTGATTCTATAGCCTGCTGAAGGAGGTGAATGAGAACACTCGCCTCTTTGTTTCTCTAACTCATTAGTGAATCCTAACCACACTTAGGTTCCTTTTCCATTCCGGTCTGGTTCTTACATTCTTAGAAAGAACTACGGGATCTTTAAATTCATTGTGTTTGTGTTGAGAGCGAGCCAGACTGTCATGTTTCATTGATACTCTGAGTAGGTCTCAAACAGTGTGCATCTAGGGATTGCATTTCGCCTATCCTGTATCTTTTCACAGTTTAGCATATTCTGGTCTGCATTTTGCTCTCTGTGTACATATAAAGGAAAATAAAATACAACATTCAGATGCCTTTGTCTCAAAACTCTGTTATTTCAGTGGGTTTTTCTTTAAGAGGGGGTGTCTTCATTTGCAACCAGCCTGGTGCTTGTTAAGGAAACCAATCTGAATGTCTTATTGTCCTTCTCTTTTCTTTCCTCCCAATTGAGAGTGCAGTTGCCAAGGGTTTTTTGTTTTTTGTTTTTTTCTGAACCTGAAAGACCCCCCCCCCCCCTCTCTCTAGTCCCCTGGTCTCAGGCCACACTGACTTCCTAGGGAGCATTCTCAGGCATCCGGACTGTGGTGTGTTCACTGGGAGGAACTTGACCTACTCCAATAACCCAGTGGCCTGAGCAAATCACAAGAAGGAATGGTGCCATCTGCCCAGCCCCTCCCCCGTGACGGCCTACTGGAAAGAGGGACAAGTTAGCAATTCAAATAATTGGCTTTTTGCCTGCTTCTTTTCCAAATAAGAAGGCAGGGATTGCTGCTGAGGTGCAAAGGGTTTTTGTGGATTACAGTGGTGGTAAAGACCTGAGTTCCTCCAGCTCCTACCTATTTTCAGCTGACCAGAAAGGCGAGGATGGTGGATGCTTTCTGTGCCACCTGGAAGCTGACAGACAGTCAGAATTTTGATGAATACATGAAGGCTTTGGGTAGGTAAAAATAAGACGTGCTGTTCTCTTTTTAATTCTGTATTTTGGTTCTTAGAAATTAATTTGCTGTGGTTCTGAGAGACAGGCTGAGCACAATGTCATAATATGCTAGACTATGCAGAGCCCACTTAAATGAATTTTTAATGTGGCATTTTCTTAACTTCTTGCCCAGGATCAGATAAAGGAATGATTGGATGTTCAAATGTGAAGCTTCTGTAATGTGTGTATATGTGTGTGCATGCGCGCGCGCTTGTGTGTGTTTGTGTTGGGGAGGGGTGTTCAGTTTTCCTTTGTTTGTGCTCAGCTGTTTTATGGCTACTGGACTAATCTTCAATCAGGTTTGAACAGAACCTACACTTTAGAATTCTGGATTCTCAGAGTGGCAAGTAGATCTTTGCTTTATGAACTGTTTTGGAAGTCGCTGTTCCTGCACTGGCTACTCTTGCTGTTTCAGGTGTGGGCTTTGCCACCAGGCAAGTGGGAAATGTGACCAAACCAACAGTGATAATCAGTCAGGAAGGAGGCAAAGTGGTGATCAGGACCCAGTGCACCTTCAAGAACACAGAGATCAGTTTCCAGCTGGGAGAAGAGTTTGAGGAAACCAGCATAGATGACAGGAACTGTAAGGTAAGCAGCCACTGTTCCAGGGTGGGGATGTGGAAGCAGAATGAAGATGCTCAATCCCTCTGTTGCATAGATGTGGAGAGGGGGAAGATTTCAGAATTTTCATTCAGGGTGAGGGAACCAGAGTTAACACTCCAGTGTACACAAGTTGTAGTCTAGACACCGAGTAATTTTCATAGCCAAACTCCCAGTCTCTTTTTCCCTTGTCCAACACTTTTTACATTTTATAGCAACCTTTACCTAGTAAGTGTTGAACAGAAAGACCGTGCCATGCGTCTTCCCTCCAATCACCTCAGATTGATCAGTCTCACACAAAAGCTTTGCTTCAACAAGAAGTGTGAGTCGTTTTTTTTTTCTTTTTTCTTTTTTGTAACTGATTGTATACATTTCAGCCAAATTATAAATGGCCACACTTGTGGATAACAGTGACTCTCAAAGCGATAGAGGATGAAGTGCCGCTAGAACAATCATGGTGACTCACTTGATTGCAGCACTCCCCAAAGTCCTGTCGCTCCCCGTCTGTGGGAAATCAGCTTCTATCTCTTAATCACCCACATTTTTGTTGTTGGTCTCAGTCTGTTGTTCGGCTGGATGGAGACAAACTTATCCATGTTCAGAAATGGGATGGCAAAGAAACAGACTGCGTAAGAGAAATTAAGGATGGCAAAATGGTTGTGGTAAGTACTAGCAGTTCTTCATTTCTGCCCATGCCCCCTTCTACCCTTCTTTCTTTCTTCCTTTCCTCTTGCCCCCCCCCTTTCCAAGCTTCTTTCCTTTTGCTCCCTCCCTTCTTTCTTTAACATTGTGTGCCTGTCAAAGTCCCTTACTAGCGTGTAAAACAGGAGGAATGAGAAGAACAGGACAGTTGCTGTCTTGGCTGATGTGTACTTTTGAAATTATCCTCCAATTTATCCAGAAGTGTGTGTCAAGAATTGTCATTATAGGATTGCTATGCATCTTCAACCTTCCCCTCAAACCTAAATGTAAAATATCGTGCAGGAGAATATATGAAGATAGCTGATATTAAACCGTAAAGTAACGGAACCTCAGAGAAGTTGCTCATTAGATACGGTCATAAGAACATATTAAACATTTTATATTCCAGTTTATAGAAGTTCAGTGCAAATAATTTAGAGTTTAAGAAAAGATAAAGCTTTAATTTCTTCTAAAACTGTTTGAGGCTACTTCCTTGCAGTTTTTTTTTTTTAATGAATCAGTGGAATCTTAAACATGTGTTCAATGATAGCTAGGCATCCAAATGTTATAAAATAGAAAAAACAATTTTATAAATAATTTCTCTAGTTGTAGAAGCCTTTAGCTAGGCTTATAAGGACCATTTTTACATTTTTGTTTTATTTAATTAACACTTTTTTATTTATTTTACATACCGATCATAATTTCCCTTCCCTTCTCTCTTCCCATTCCCCCCTCTGGCCCCCCATTTCTCCCATCTACCTCTCCCCCTCCCCTGCTCCATCCATCTCCCTTCAGAAAGAGGCAGGCCTTTCAAGGGCTTGAACAAAGCATGGCACATCAAGTTGAGGCGCAACTGAGCTCCTCCTCCTGCATAAAGTCTAAGCTAGGTGATCCAGCATGGGGAAGAGGTTGCTAAAAGCCAGCTAAGCACCAGGGACAGGTCCTGATCTCACTGCTAGGAGTCTTACAAACCAGGCTTCACAACTGTCACATACATGCAGAGGGCCTAGTTCGGTCCCATACAGGTTCCCTAATTGTTGGTTCAGAGACCATGAGCATCCACGAGCTCAGGTCAGCTGTCTATACAGACCATTTTAAAATTAGATGATAGTGATATTGTTAAGCTGACTCATTGCTCTTGGGGATGTCTGGAGTTCCGTTACAAATTCCTGCTAAGATAAGATCTGAAAATGCCTTTGCTACTGCTTTTCCAAAACAGATTACCCACTTCTTTAATAATACATTCAGAGTTATTCTGAATTGAAACACACTTACTTCTTCTCACATGTGTAAGGCTGGGGGAGCAGAAGGCAGGGCTTTTTCTTGAATCATCAACTAAGAGTTTATTTCTAACAATAACCCTGAAGCTATTTTTTTTTTTTATGATGCCACCTCCGTTTCTTTTCTGTCTATAGACAGATGGAGCAAGCTCAACTTTGGGAACTATGATTGTGATCAGGCGTGACTGAATTCTGAAATGGAGATTAAAGCAAAGACATGCTGTGTTCTGAGGATCACATCAGTGCTTGAAAGTCATGGGCACACACCTTAATATTTTAGAGTGATTTTACAGTAATTCTTCAAGTTCAGAGTTAGAGGGTCAACATTTGGTGCTATTGCCACGTAACCACCTGGGTTTGGTTTACAGGGGTGAAAGATGGCAAAGTACAGAAAACACTGTACGGATGTGTTGCTAATTTTTAAAATAAACCATTACAGATACCATGAGCTCAAATAATTGTATTTTCTGAAGAAGTCAACCGAGATTATAGATTGAAAACTGTTATGAAAATTTACCATAAATCTAATTCCCTTTCAAAGCCAACAGTTGAGGCCACAGTGAGACACCAGCATGTGCCTTCCTTGCACCCAATTTGTTCTGGTTCCCTTAATAATTTCACACAAAAGGAAATTTGAAACCTGCAATTTCAATTGCAAACTCAGTTTCTGCTCTCTTTCCGTTTTCAAAAACCAGAACAATGTGAAAATGTGTTTTACTTATTAAACACTTGTGATTTTGTTTGTTTGTTTGTTTGTTTTGCCAGGAAAGAAAGAGTATATATGCATTGTTTAATGGTTGTAAATGTCTTCGTTCTTCAGGCTTAATATTGAGATCATATACATGATAATGTTAAAAACTTCAGCCATGAATGTTCCTGGGTGAAAGGACTAAATTATCTTTTAACTATTTCAGACTCTTACCTTTGGCGATGTTGTTGCGGTACGCTGTTATGAAAAGGCATAGAGAAGATGACGGTTCTCTGGAAGTTCAGTTTGCTGGAGTCTCAGAGTTCGCCATCTACTGTAGCTCTGGTCACTCATTAGACATTAGATGGTCATGCTTGTTGTGGAAGCAGAAAATTATAACTTAAAGATGTGCTACTCCAAGCAGCTCATAGAATTTTAATATGCAATCTACCCTGTTTTGTAATTTGCTACAATTTTATAATAACTTTTTATAAAGATGGGAACACACATTGTTATTTTCTTTGGAATGCAAACCCAATTGGAATAAAAAGTATACACATATAAAAAGTTGGTTGTTGTATTTAATGTCATAAGTCCATATAGGAACTATTAGAGGGTTTTCAATGACATATTTACGCTCTTATAGCATAAACTAAGGATGGAAATGTAATACCTTGTATAAAATATTCATTCGTAGAATAACTGGGTAACCCAGAAAACGTGGAGATGCCACATTTTTGTGACCTTGACCAAGAAATTTGAATCAATAAATCTGGTCAGGACCTAAGAATATTGGTCACAATGAGTCGGACTACAGAAATGACCATTTGCTATTAAGAAGGGAGAAAAATAATAGGCATTAAAATGTAATAAAAATAAGTATAATTCAGTTCCATGCAATCACAACATAATTTATCAAAGTTTTAAAGTAAAGACAATTAGGAAAAGGAAGCTGATTTCATCTTCCATTCCTAGCATGAATCCCCAGACACCTCACCGCGCTGGACTTTACTAAGTTAAGAATGTTGAGATGAAGTTAAGACAGAGAATCCATGCAAGTGATCAGATTCCTCTTTTTCCTGGGGGTAGATAGAAGAGACAATGGCAACAGACCAAACCAAAACAAATACCTCTTATAGCTGTGCTGCATTTGTGATACGAAGAAATGAGACTATGTTTTGTTTCTTGTTAAATGCTCTTTAGTCGTTTTTCTCAACCCATGATATGAGACAAGGCAGGGAATATTGTATGTATTCTACCAATGGGGTAAACTAAGGGTTAAAGCTGCCTGGCTAAGTTCTCATGAGTAGCAGATAATACTGAGAATGGCAAAGCCCAGTGTTTTCCTTCTAAAACAATACTGCAAGATTTTATTGTGATTATTCCCGAGGCAGCCTTTCCTCTGTTGACTTTAGTACATAAGTGTCTACGTGGGGCATATTTTTTTCGGGGAAATAAATAATGCTCAGTTAATGCAATCTTGTGGTTTCCTTACATTTTTATAAGTGATCTCAAAGTCAAAATATAAAATGCGAGAAATTATCCTATAATTTAGGTAGTTCACTACAATGATGCTGCTACCTGATTGCTATATGACAGGCTCAGTGTTCCTTACCCAAAATACTTGGGACCAAAAGGGTTTTGCATTATGGGATATACATGTACATAACAAGGTATCTTAGAAATATGATCTAAACACAAAATTCATTTATGTTTCATTTGCACCCTTTTCACATACTTGGAAACAATTTTGTAAAATATTACAATGCACTTGAATTTTGGCTAGAATCAGCAAGTAAAGTTTGGAATTGAATCGCCCCTTTGTGTCATGTCAGTTGAGGACTTCGGAGAAATTTCCAGTTTCTATATTAAAGGTAGTTAATGTGCACTTTAGAATACTATAAATTTGAGTGTGTGTATTGCACATATTTGTGTGTATTTGTGTGAGTGCCTGCATGTAAGAGCACATGGGTGCCCACAGAGGCCAGAAGAGTGTGTCAGATATTTTGTAGCTAGAGTGATTGTGAGCCACCAGTCTTGAGCATTGGGAATGAAACTCTAGTTCTCTGAAAGAGTATAAGTGCCCTTAAACATTGAGCTGTCTCTCTAACCACTCAACATGTACTTTAATATAGCACATAAAAATACAAAATTGAACATTTAAATATACAAATATTACTGTTAAAGTAAGATTATCTATTAAAGTCATTGGTCCTACAAAGCCCACTCTTTTTAAAAATTAAGAATAGGACCTTGTCTCCGCTGCAGACACTTGCTTTGGAAGCATGGACTCTGGCCTGATGAACTAAGGGTGGGATTTCTCTTCAGATCATTGCAATACAACAAAAACAGAGCCTACTGGTATTCATTTCCAAAACATTAAAGAATAGAACGGTGTTTGGGGGGTCCGAGTGGGAAATGACATCACAATGGGATAAAAATAATTGAGAGCTGCAGTGGTAGAGTATGTATATATTTATAGAAATAGTATTAATAGATAGTTCTATTTCTTAAATTTTAAGAAGTAGTTGGAACCTAATTTTTTCAAATCAAATTATATTTTCCTTAATAATCTGTAGATACTACTAACTTTTCATCACCCCCTTTCTCATACACATATTGCTAAAGAAAAGGGGATATTTACCATGACCAAGGGCAATTTGACCAAGAGAATAAGGAACCACCACTTTGGAAATTTCCAGTTCTCAAAAATACAAACCAACCTGAAAACTGTTCTATAAAATCTAGTCACAGACCGCTCTACTAGTTAGCATTAGCTATCGACTTGCCATAGCTTAAGTTCACCTGAAAAGAATCTTAATGTGGAGACTGCCCAGATCAGATTGGCCTGTAGACATATATGTTGAGTCTTAATTGTTAACAGACAGAGGAGAGCCTAGTCCACTGTCTGTGACCCCATTCCCTAGGCAAGTGGTTCTGGGCTTAAGACTCTAGCTAAGCATGAGTCTATAGGAGAGCCAATCTCATTCCTTCAGTTTTTGCTTCAAGCTCCATCTTGAGTGTGTGCTCTAGCATCCCTTCATGATGGATTGTAGTCTATACAATAAACCTTTTTCTTCTGTAGTGGTTTGAATAGGAATGACCCCCCCCCATAGGTTCAGAATGCTTAGGGAGTGACACTCTTTGAAAGGATTGGGAGGTATGATATTGTTAGAGGAAGTCTCTGGGGAGTAGGTTTTGAGGTTTCAAAAGCCCAAGCTGGGCCCAGTGGTGCTCTCTTCCTATTGTCTTCATATGGAGTTGTGAATTCTCAGCTACTCCTTTAGCACCATGCCTGCCTGCATGCTGCCATGTGCCCCACCTTGATGAGAATGAAATAAACCTCTGAAACTGGAAGCTAGCTCCAACTGAATGCTTTCTAAGAGTTTTTGTGGTCACGGTGTCTATCCACAGCAATAGAACACTGTCATAGACTAAGACACCTTCCATGAACTCTTTCGGTTGAGTATTTCATCAGCAGCAGAGATGAAACTGTAACAACCACCGAGAGTCAGTCATCAGAATTTTCTTTTTTTGTCTTTATGTCCATTTTCCCTGTTCCAGAAAAACAAGGTGAAAATGAACGTTGGAGCCAGGAGACCTAAAGATACAGGCTTCCATTGCCTGTACAGTCACATGTAAGACACTGACACCTGGAGCTTCCCACTGAGTAGGAAGGAAAACAAAAGAAGGTGAAGTAGATGGGAGGCTGGAGCTTCCATCACTCATTTCACACTTTAGCATGTTTGGATTTCAAGCATTTCAAGGTTTCACAATGTGTGTGCTGTCTTCTTCTTCTTCTTCTTCTTCTTCTTCTTCTTCTTCTTCTTCTTCTTCTTTTCTTCTATTTCTCCTCCTCCTTCTCGTTCTCCTCCTCCTTCCCCTCCTCCTCTTTCTTCTCCTCCTCTTTCTCTTCTCTCCCTCCTCCTCTTCCTCCTTCTTTTAAATTTTAGGAGACTGGGTTTCTCTATGTAAAAGCCCTGGCTCTAACTGTCCTGGAACTCATTATGTAGACCAGGGTGGCCTCCAGCTCACAGAGATCAGCCTGCCACTGCTTCCTGAGGGTTTGGATTAATGGTATGCACCACCATCACGTAGCTTGCATTTTGCTTAACTAAAAAATTATTTCACAACCAATTTACTTCCAGTAATATGCCTTAGAAATTGAAAACAAAACCAAAGAAAAAGCGCGTGACAGAGTAAGATAGCACACAGAGAGAGGTCAGTTCAGGTTGAACTAGAATTTGATCTCCTTAATGGAGAATCCCATGGAAAATTACTCAACTCTACTTTAGGACCTGGGGCCAAGATGCCCCAGCTATCTTATCTTTTTTTCTTTTTTCTTTTTTTTTGGTTTTTTCGAGTCAGGGTTTCTCTGTGGTTTTGGAGCCTGTCCTGGAACTAGCTCCTTATCTTATATTAGCTGGGGCATCATTGCCCCTGCAGCTGCAAAGTGAGATACCAGTTTGTGGTTTTTGCCTTTAAAAGAGTCTTGCTCTAAATGCTCTGGGATATACATAAGTCCTGTATACCTGAGTATAGTCCTATAGCCAGCTGGAAAAAAGAAACAAACAAACAAACAAAAAACTTCTAATTGGCTATAAACTGTCCGGTAGGGTTCTGACAAGAATTAGCAAAAATTGACATTGTTATAACCTGCTCATTTTCTGTTAAAACAGTCATAATTATGTTATCTTACTAATAATAATTTGCTCTTCATCTCAGGCTCACTATCCTTTTCCTGGTTCTCTTTTATTTTATTTTATTTATTTATTTAAGATTTCTGCCTCCTCCCTGCCACCGCCTCCCATTTCCTCCCCCTCCGCCAGTCAAGTCCCCCTCCCTCATCAGCCCGAAGAGCAATCAGGGTTCCCTGTCCTGTGGGAAGTCCAAGGACCACCCACCTCCATCCAGGTCTAGTAAGGTGAGCATCCAAACTGCCTAGGCTCCCACAAAGCCAGTATGTGCAGTAGGATCAAAAACCCATTGCCATTGTTCTTGAATTCTCAGTAGTCCTCATTGTCCTACGCTTTTTAGATTGCAGACTGAGAAACTGCCACTGGAAATTACTGTGTTTTCTCTGTAGCTTTGGAGTCAGTCCTGGAACCAGTTCTTGTAGACCACTTGTCTCTGCCTCCTGAGTGCTGGGATTAAAGGCGAATGCCACCACCCCCCAGCTTCTGTGGTTTTTGTAACACTCGGAATGCAGGGAAGCTAAAGCAAGCCTGGGAGGAGTCTGGCAGGATCTGAAAAGGGAGTCCGTGTTCACTTAAAAATCCTTTTCAAGAGATACAATCGTTAGGTCATCCAGGATATAAGTTTTCTCTGGTGGAAAACTTATCTGTAAAATACCTTGGCAAAATTACCTCAAGAAAATATAAAAATAATGTATTCTGGACCTATGCACGATCCTCGGACAGGAATACAGATTCAAGTTTTTCTAAATTATTGGTCCAGCATGAAATAGGTTATAGAAAATTGTATAGCTACAGAACAGAGAAAGTAATAAATCAATACTTTTACCAGTTATGTTCATAGTAGAAAAATATCAACCCAAGTAGACAATC